TCCCTTTTCTATTCTTTTTTCTTGCATAAATCCAAACACTTCTCGTTCACATATTTCATTCTAGAGAGAGAGAGAGAGAGAGAGAGCGAGAGATCGGATTTGGATCGCAGGAAGAGACAGAGGAAGAAAAATGGCGCAGAAGAGGTACATAATTGAAGTGGAGAAAGCGAAGGAAGCTTGCGATGGAAGGCCATCAATGGGACCTGTTTATCGCAGCGTCTTCGCCAAGGACGGATTTCCGCCGCCGATTGACGGATTGGACTGTTGCTGGGATGTTTTCCGGTACGAATCCTCCGTTTGTTTCGTTTTCTTTTGAATTTCTGCTGCTCAGTTTGTTTTCCGAGAAATCACGGGAAAAAGGAAAAAAAAAAAGGAAAAAGAAAAAAGAAAAACTAGATGCGCCTGGAAAGATTTGATCTTGAAATCTCTTTTTGAACGGAATGAGAGAGTTTCAACTGCGAATCTTTTTTAATTTTGGTAGGTTTTGGTTATTAGGATTCTAACAATGATTTGATTCGAATCGAAACGTGGAAAGTTTTAGTTTGACCAAGCGCTATCGTAGAATCCATAGACTGGAGACAAATTCTGACACTGCTATTGGAGTGGTTATTCGATCAGATCAAAGCTATGAACTCTAATCAGCTTGGTCATGCTTATTTGTTTTTGCGCTCTAGAAATAATAATAGTAATAGTGAATAACAAAAAGCTGAGATCTGATTTCACAGCAGAAAACAGCGTTACTTTAAGTTCCTCATTTTTCATTGATGGAGTTAATTTACGGTATTTGTTGCATAGGTTGTCCGTGGAGAGGTGTCCCGAAAATCGAATGCTTGGTCGCCGGGAGATTATAGACGGGAAGGTATTTTGCAGGAAAAATCGATGTGTATAAGTGCTCTTATTTTGCGCTTTTATGCCTAATTGCCTATTCAGTTTTAAGCAAAATAGCTAATATTTTGGAATGTCGTCCTCTGTTTTCAGGCTGGGAAATATGTCTGGCAAACTTATAGAGAAGTTTATGACTTGGTGATAAAACTTGGAAATGCCATGCGCCGTTCTGGTTTTGGCGCAGTACGTCTCCTATGATCTTGTTGTATTTGTTTTAATTTGAAAGGGAAAAAAAAAGAGTTCATTCAAGCTAGTAGAGCCAACTAAATGTTCTTGCTGAGTGCAGGGAGACAAATGTGGTATTTATGGTGTTAATAGCCCAGAGTGGATTATAAGCATGCAGGTACCTTTGCTTCTTGCCTGTAATTTGCTTTGGTTATTCCTTATTTTCATACGTCGCATTAAAATGCATGGTACTTTCTCCAAGTGTATCTCTTAATCCATAGTTGCCTTTGTTTCCTTCTTATTTGAGTCCGACATTAGCCATGTTATATGTTATCCTCATCAGGCTTATCATTTTACGCAAAACAGAGATAAGATTGCAAATTTTTTGCCTTCTCCGCTTGTATCTGATGATATCTATCCGCTTAACTGGGATATGATTGTCTTTCGTTGCGTCTAGAAAGTTTAATTTTGGCTTGAAGATAATTAATAATGCAAAACTGGTGATGCAGGCTTGCAATGCTCACGCACTCTATTGTGTTCCTTTATATGACACCTTAGGTATGCATACCCCTTCTTCATCATGCAGTCAACCTAAAAGAGGGGTTTTTTTTTTTTTTTTTTGGCGTGTCATGCCACTTATCATGTTTTTATATGTTTGGCCTTACTTCTGAGCATGTTTTAGGTGCCGGTGCTGTGGAATTCATCATAAACCATTCTGAGGTTTCAATCGCTTTTGCAGAAGAAAAAAAGATTCCCGAGGTACACAAGTTGAATCTGTAAATTTCTTGCTATAATAAATCATTAGTACTTTTCAAAATTATGAAAATTTGTCCCAGAATTTATCAAAATGCTACTTCTGGAAATGAGTGCTGTAATTCTTCATAGGTGCTGGCAATTTGAGAGTTAAAGGTGCTATAATCATGGACTTACATGTACACTATTTTTTCCCTTTTTTCAGCTGTTGAAAACTTTTCCTAACACGACAAAGTATCTGAGAAGTAAGTTGCGTGCATTTGTAAATTTCTTTGTCTATATATACATCTTATGTTCTTTGGTATAACTATATTTTATACTGCAGCACTTGTGAGCTTTGGCAAGGTTACCCCAGAACAAAGGGAAGCAGTTGAAAAGTTTGGCCTGACGATCTATGCCTGGGAAGAGTTTTTGCAATTGGTAGGATATTTTATTTGACTCCACCAATCTTTCTAGATATTCGTCAGTTCCCATGACTTACAATATTTTTTGAAAAATGAAAAAAAAAAAAAAAAAAAAAAAAAAGGCAAAGCCCTGATATCCAGAATGTATTTAAGGGGGGAAAAAAGAGTCTTAAAATATTGTTTCCATATTGTTTCCGAGATGTCCTAGCTTATGTTTCGTTTAGATATTTTGGGATTTCATTATATTGATTCAACCTTTTTATCTGTTTCTAACAGGGTAACGATAAAGACTTTGACCTTCCAGTGAAAAAGAAAAGTGATATATGTACTATAATGTATACTAGCGGAACTACTGGTGACCCCAAGGGAGTAATGATATCCAACGAGAGCATTATTTCTCTTCTGACTGGAGTGAAGCTACTGCTAAAGAGTGTAAATGAAGAGGTAAGTCTTTCTAATTTCAACCTTCACATTTCTTTTCCAAGATGTAATTGAATAAGCCAAAGCTACAGACTTAAGGTACATGCATGATCTAGCTATTTTTCTTCTTTTTGCTGTGCTGACTATTTGTGCAACCATACTTTTTCTCTATAGTTGAATGACAAGGATGTATATCTTTCATACCTTCCTCTTGCGCATATCTTCGACCGGGTGATTGAGGAGTTATTTATTATGCATGGTGCCTCAATAGGGTTCTGGCGTGGGGTAAGTGCTTACTAGTTATTAGACAAACAAATTAAAATTAAATTCGGCAGATGATCATTTGTATGTATGCAGGATGTCAAATTATTGATCGAAGACATCGGGGAGCTAAAACCAACTATTTTTTGTGCTGTTCCCCGTGTGATGGATAGAGTCTACTCTGGTAAATATTCTTCTGATTTGAGTTTTCAATCTTTAATCTATGTGGACAAAGGGAAAACCGCATCTTGGTTGGGGAATTGATAGTTGCCCATAATTTTGGGGCATCAAACATATTTTCTATTTTATGTAATTATATCGTGAAACATATTTATGAGAGTTTTCCATTATTCTCTATTACACTTAAATTGCCGCGCAAATTTCCAGGCTTGACACAGAAGATTTCTGCTGGTGGCTTCTTGAAGAAGACATTGTTCAATCTTGCATACGCATTGTAAGTGCAGTATCTCTCTCTCTCTCTCTCTCAAGTACATGAGTAAATTGAACTTCCTCTGTCAATTTTCACATTTATTTTCAGAAAGGCCCTTCGATTTATATCTATTTTATTCTTTCTTTCTTTTCTCAAGGGCTTCGTTTCAAGTACGAGATAATTGCTTTTGTTCAACGACAAAAATTAATATATTTCTAGATGATTGTAGTTTTTACAATGAAACATTTCGTGTACATTTTCTTTGTGGTGCATAAGTTCTTATTTACTTGAAACTCTCTGCAAACTTTGGTGAGCCCCTGCATCAGAATCTGCATCAGAATTAGGCTTGTGGAATGAAGATAACAACAGGATTAATTATATTATGACTCATTCATCTTGTATCTGATTAACTTTCCCCCCTCCCCTCTTGCTACAGAAAGCAACATAGCATGCAAAAGGGGCGTAAACATGAAGAGGCATCTCCAATATTTGACAAAATTGTATTTAGCAAGGTGGCGGAGATATTCATCTTCTTCTCTTGCGTGCTTTGTACTTTAATTTTTTTTTTTAAAAAAAGATTAGAAGAGTTCCTGTTTAATACTTTGAATCTCATTTGTTTTTCTGATGCCTTCAGGTTAAGGAAGGATTAGGAGGTAATGTACGCCTGTGCTTTGTACTTTAATTTTTTTTTTTTAAAAAAGATTAGAAGAGTTCCTGTTTAATACTTTGAATCTCATTAGTTTTTCTGATGCCTTCAGGTTAAGGAAGGATTAGGAGGTAATGTACGCCTTATTCTATCTGGAGCTGCACCTCTATCTACTCATGTTGAAGCTTTCTTACGAGTGGTGACATGCGCTCATGTTTTGCAAGGATATGGTGCGATATCCTCTGAAGTATTTGTTTTGTCTCCTTGTCTTTTTGGTTTCCCCCCCTTCTTTGGCTTGTGGAACACACATTCCTGGAATATGTTTCTAGTACTTTTATTTCTTTTCACTATCAATATGATGCTAGTACTTGTACATGTTAATATATTCTGTGTCAAACTTTATGTAGGTCTGACTGAAACTTGTGCGGGGACATTTGTTTCCCTACCAAATGAAATGTCAATGCTTGGTACAGTGGGCCCCCCAGTACCAAATGTTGATGTACGCCTGGAATCTGTTCCTGAAATGGGATACGATGCCCTTGCAGAAGTTCCTCGTGGAGAAGTATGTGTGAAGGGAAGCCCCTTATTTTCTGGGTACTACAAACGTGAAGATCTCACCAGTGAAGTCGTGGTTGATGGATGGTTCCATACAGGTTTCCCCATGTTTTGGTCTTTACTTATTGTGTACATGGATTGTTTATCTTAATGGATTTATGTAGCAGTATATCTCATAATCTTTGCAACAGGTGATATTGGTGAGTGGCAACCGAATGGAAGCTTGAAAATTATTGACCGCAAGAAGAATATTTTCAAGCTTTCACAAGGAGAGTATGTAGCCGTGGAGAACTTGGAGAACATTTATGGTGTTGTTTCTGATATTGATTCCGTGAGTTAATGTTCTGTTTGCTACTGTCGTCTTTTGTAGCTTTTATGGATGTAGAAACCATCTTGTAAATGAGATAACATTGACTTTATTTGACTCATAGACCCGATTGGTTAGTTGATGTTGCTCTAATCATTTATTTGAAGAGAATTTGTAGTGATTGTTGGAGTTGAGCTCGCCTTTAGTTGTGGGCAGGACATGTATGCTCTGACTCTTCATGCATAAGAAAAATTTTGAATTCTTTTTTTTGGTAGAAAAATTGTCTTTCTTGTGCTTTACATGTTTTTCATTACCTTCACCTTTTTTGATGGATGATGCACCTTTATAATAACTCACTGTAAGTGTATTTTTATTGTATGATATAAATGCCAGGTATTCCTTTGCTAACTTGATGTATATTTTTAAACTACGCAAACAAAAGAAATGGTTTTGTGTTCTATCTTTAATATTGTCTGCTGAAAGTTTATAGGTGTTTTACATGTGGTTTTGTGTTCTATCTTTTATATTGTCAGCTGAAAGTTTATAGGTGTTTTACATGTCTTTTGTTCTGTCAATTTCAGCTATGGGTTTATGGGAACAGCTTTGAGTCCTTCCTTGTTGCTGTTGTCAACCCTAACAAGCAAGCGCTTGAATGCTGGGCTGAAGAGAATCACATATCCGGTGACTTTGAGTCCCTTTGTGAAGATCCAAGGGCAAAGGAATACATTATTGGGGAGCTCAATAAAGTTGCTAAAGAGAAAAAGGTATTTTTTGCCTCCCTTCTTTCTTATTTTTCCAATTTATCATCTGTTGTAGAATAGTTTGACTTTTGAATAACTACCAGAAGCCTTTTCTGACGCTTAGATGTTGCTCTTGGCAGTTGAAAGGTTTTGAGTTCATAAAAGCCGTTCACCTTGAGCCAGTTCCATTTGACATTGATCGTGACCTTATAACTCCAACATACAAGAAAAAGAGACCACAGTTGCTCAAATACTATCAGGTAGATCCCATTTATTTTCTCTTGCAATTCTCAGAATGAGCCTTGTTTTAAATTGCCTGATTTTTCGATGTTGATCATCACAATGGATGATTTAGTTTTGGTTGATACATCCACGTTTCAAATGTCAGAAATCCAATTGCTACCTTTTTTCCAGTCTGCAAGTTGATATACCAACTTAATAATTCATTGATTATTACTTATATGTATGTATGTATTGAAGTAGTAGTTAAAAACATATTAGTTTCAAAGTTATCTCTTGAAGTATACATGAATGCCTTTTTTATTACCATATATGGAAAAAGTCGTTATGATTGAAATGCTAACTGGAAATTTTGGGTCGCAGAATGCAATTGATAACATGTACAAGAGTGCAAACAAGCCAAAAGCATGAAAGACATACAGCTAGTTGCTAGAGTTCACGCCCCTCTCAGAGGTCTCTTCACAAGTTCCCTACCTCACATTTGGCGAGACCCTTTTAATTGAAATTTTTATTCTAGTCTCTCTCTCTCTCTCTTCTCTCTCTCTGTGATTGTACATAAGATTTTATTTATAAACAATTTTATAATCATCCAATACCATACTTTTGGTAACATCTTTGATATGGAGGGGATTTTGAGAACGTATCTGGCCCTGTAAAGGATCGAACTTTCTGATAATGAACATTATGCCACTTCGACCTCTTTATTTGGTTCAATTATTACTTTTGACTTGTTTTTGTTCCCTTTTTTGTCCAAAGGCACAGGGAATTCTAACTTATTATGTTAGCAGCTTGGAAATGAAGATCTACCAAGTTACTTTTGATATTTTTGTTTGAGGTCCGCTCAGCGACACTGGTACTGAACATGTGAACCTGTAGCAGCACGGTACATGGTAGCCAAATGCTACGCGAGACTAAAGTTACGGAAAGATAACTCTGCCTGAACTTATGTGCAAGCGCCCTCGGACCAGCTTTATGTATATTGGTCCCTGGTGTGACCCTGTGTCATTCGAGCACGCCACTAGGCTTCCATGTCCACTATCAAGCAGACCTCAAGTTGGTCAAGCATGACACAAGCCGATGCGCCGCATAAAATCACTAGTCAACTGAAATCAACAATGATTGAAATAACCTTCATGACCAGTTCAGCTCAAATAGCCCACTGAGTTCAGAATGCAAGCCATAGTCCCATGCGCCAAACTCAGCTCGACCAAAGTCGGCTAAAAACCAAACGTGATCGATACATTTGCTATGACCTACTCAGCCCAATCAGAGTCTATTTAGCTCCTAACACACGACCTCAATCCTCATGTCTAACTGAACCTAACTAGAATCAACTGAAACCAAAGTGTTAAAGGATAGAAGAGGCTCCTTCAAAGTCCTCAAGCTCTTGTTGAAGGATGCGGGATCCTCCTGAAACTGTTCACGTGCAACCCAAGCATCAGCAATTTCCTTATAAGACCAGATCACACACATTCCTCGAGACGAAGCATCAGCACACTCTCGAGTTCACCTGATATTTTTCACTAGATGTGTTTTCCGAGCCTGCCATCTTTTCACATTGCTTTCGAGCATAGAGGATGCTGAGATCTAGAGCATTCTAACAAAGAACATGTTAAAACCATGGGTTTCACCGTAATAGATTGGGGTTCAAACTCAAGACGTTAACCTAATGAGTAAAGTAGCACACTTCCTTATAAACCCCCCATAACTTTCATTTGTTGTTAATGTGGGACTTTGTTCACACCTCTAATAATCCCCCACTTTGAATAAAGTACCATGGCCCCCCATTGAATGATAACTCATTTCGTCCATTGAATCCTCTATTGCACCTCCATTGCATTATATGGAGATCCAACCACCTCGTGCTCTCCATCCGATATTTACGCATTTCATGGTGTGCACAACAACCTCAAGGTCTACACTGCGTTTATGAGCTCGCGTTACTATAGAGGGAAGGTTCACCTTGAGCGTTTGTGGAATTTTTTCACTATCGCTATATTATCAAGTGCCACACCTTCATTCGGCACATCAAAGATTAATCTCATGCGTACACTTGAAAACATCTGGGTGATACCAATTATTAGAATCTTGAGCTACTCTTAATAGGTTAATCTTACCTTTGGCTTTCGTCTCAGGTGTATTATTCTATATTTTTCTAAAAGAACATTCATTCATTTCTTTCTTTTTCGTCGACCGTGACAACTCAAACAAAACATAAAATCCAGACTCGGAAAGGAGAAAAGCCCGTGGTGAACAGTTGGGAAAGTCAGGCCAATCAAATGTCTTCATTCAAGCGATGATACAGAAGAAGAACAAAACGAAATGAGAGGCTAGGGGGCAAAGAAATGGCTCGTCCGAATTGTTTTGATGGCAATGGATCCCCAAGATCCTAATAGAACATAGGAAAAAATAGTAAAAAAAAAAAAAAAAAAAAAAAAAAGAAGCAAAAGTCATGAAAAAACTATATTTACAATTAGTACGCGGTTCAACACAATAGTCCATGAGCAGTGACAGTGACTCATAGTGTCCTTCCTAGTAGTGACACAATAAGAATGTCGCGTTACATCACTTTCTCCAAAACTGCTCTGAACAAGCATATTCCTCATCTCGGTTAGTTTGCAGTGAACACATCCCATTCCTAGACCACAACGGATTATATATAGATCATGTTTCTATTAAACCAGGCTTTGCTCGCCTCATTTAAGGTGAATCCCACAGTAAATATAGATTGACAAGGAAAATTGTCATCGTTATGATTGACCGTGTTTGGAATTAATTCTATTTTAATTTTTTATGATTTTTGATAAAAAAAAATATATTTTTAAAACGGCGTTTGACGCAATAAAAATAAAAAATGAAAATAATTTTTTAATTTAGTGTAAAATAAGAGATAAATAAAAAATAATTTTTAATCATAAATATTTTTATTTTTATTTTCATACAAAAAAATAAAATTATTTTAAAATGAATTTTAAACGCGCTCGTTATATAGTCCAATAGTATTATAGCGCCAACATCAGACACAAACTGATAGTACTATCATAATTTAGATATTGTTCTAGTGTAAATGGGTAGTGTCGCACTGATGAACCAAAGTGCGCTTTTTGCTCGTCTCTTTTAGTTTAAAGGGTCGGTGGAGGAAGGTGACACCTGTTGCACTAGCCGTGCAAGCGGCCGAAATTTCGCACCAACAAGCTTTGTTTTGTTTTGAATATACTTTTCCTCTTTTTATTTTTTCTTGGAATTCCTACTCGTAACACTTAAATTTCTAACATTACCGCAGTCAGTTAATTAACCGAACCCATATATAAGTACTTTTAGTTTTGGCTAGTTCTTCTAAATAATTAATGAATTAGTTGATTCCCCTTTCATGCCACGAAATCGTTAGTACAACACAAGCAAGGATGTTTAGTAGAGGGATTCATTTCTTGATTCGAATCATAATTCATAGTTCGCTACAGTATTTTCTCTTACAAAAAATTTACGTAAATCGAAAATGATTCAATTCACATGGTTTAAATCATCCAACCAAACGTTTGACGTACTTTAGTTGAAAAATTTAGCTACATAGAAATTGTGGTACGCACAATGATACACATCCATAGAAAATTTAGTTAAATAATATTCTTAAATATGAGAGTTTTTTTTTTTTTTTTTTTTTTTTTTTTGATAAATTGCGGCCATGAGTTAGGCCAATGGAAACATCCGCAAAACAACTCTCCCCTAATATCCGTGACTCGAGAGGATAGACCATCTTAAAGAAAGAAAAAGATCTGAGAAAGAAAACAAAAGAAATGAGAGAGATAAAAATGCATCTGATGCAATGCATTAGTACACCAAGACAAGAAATTTATTCACAATACAAGTATCGCCTATAATACTAAGCATATAAATATGGGATTTTCTTCGGCCACTCTGGAAAAATTCTTACAACATAACGTGTAATTATAAAAAAAAAAAACACAATATAATAATTATTAAACGTTAGATAAAAATAATACTAAAAAATTTAATTATTTACAAACTAATTTTTACGTTTAATAATTATTTTATTACGTTTTTATAATTATACGTTAGAGATAGTCTTTTTAAAAAAAAAAAAAAAAAAAAAAAAAAAAAAAAACCATAAAAAAAAAAAAAGAAGCCTATATATAAAAATATATATTTTGTGAAATAGCTAGTTGTGCGGTCGTA